TCTTTCCTTTATCCTATTCTCTATTCTCTATATTCTATATTCAATTCTATTCTATTCTAGTTCATTCCATTGCCTATTCTATTCTATTCTATTCTAAGGGGGGATTTGAGGGGCTCCCTCCATCCCGAAGGTCCATGAGTCAAAGGGGCTCCTGCCCACCGCTGCGTCCCCCCCAGGGACACCCCTCCCCCCCCCGTAGGACTACAGGCACTCCTTTCATTTAGTGACCGTTCCAAGTTGCAACAGCACTGAAAAAAAGTGACTTGTGGCCGTTTCTCGCGCTTATGACCGCTGGAACACCTCCCTGGAAACCCCCCTCCCCCCCCAGACCTGCCTTCCAGCACCAGCTCGAGGCTCATCTGGGGCAGGTCGCAGGTGGGGGTGAAGCTCCGCAGCGGGATTTGCTCCTCATCGCACTGGTGGGCGAAGTGTAGCAGCTTCAGGGTCCAGGTGAGGTGCCTGGAGAAGGGGGTGGGGGTGGGGGGAGGGGGGGAGAGGGGGGGGCGAGACGGAAGCTGCCTCCAACTGAGTCCGGCACCTTCTGGCAGCCTTCCCCAACCCGGGGGCCCTCCAAGCCCACTTGTCTGAAAGGGCAGGAAGGGTTTCGGGGTTGGACTAGATGACCTCCAAGGTCCCTTCCCACTCCGTGGTCCTGTGTTTCTTGCGGTGGGGGTGGGCGGTGTTGCTCTTGGCTGCGGGCCAAGGCCGCCTGGGGTTCCCCCTCTTGCAGACGGGGGAGAAAGGGGTGGGGGAAGGGCAAAGGCCAGGCTTGCAGAGAGGACACCCCCCCCCTCAGCCGCCGCCGCCCCCCCCTCCTCTTACCTCTTCTGGCTGTTCATGGAGAGGACCAGGCTGGTGGTCTCCAGGTCCACCTTCAGCCGTGAGGGCAGGTACTTCAGGCCGGCCAGGCCCAGGGGGGGCGGTGGATCCAGCGGGAGATCCTTTGGGGAATCTGGGGGGGGCGGTGGGGGGGTGTCAGGAAAGGGGAGAAGGAAGACCCAGCGACGCAGAGGGCTGGAGGAGGAGACAGCCATCCCCCCAAGACCCCGCTGGGCAAAGGATGCTGAGCCATTCAGCCGGTGGTCAGCCATTAAATCCCAAACGGAAGCCAGTTGGTCCTAGATCTCAGCCCCTCCCAGCCCCACCCCTGAAGTGCCTCCCCACCTGACCCACAGCGGGCTCCACAGAAGACGAGGGCACCGATTCCCGGCCACGGGGGACCAGAGCGGGGGGGGGCGGGAAAGAGCTAGCACGCTTGGGCCAGGTGTGCGGCTGCGTTGCCCGCTACCCCTCGGCCGCTGCCCAGTGGGGAAATGCTACCAGTGTCAGGATTCCAGCAATCGCTCTAATTAAAATCACGATCCTCGAGCCAAACTTCAAAAAACTTCCGAGGCTTCCTTAGAGGCGGCCTATAGTGGCCCTGCCCTGTATGAAGCCAAGTCTGGCCTACGTCGTTTCCAGTCCCCTGGGACCCTGTTTCCCCCGCTTCCCCCCTGGGTGGGGTCATCAATCAAATTCTCCAACTGAGCGCCTTCACGGGCCGTGGTGAGATTCAAATCCTTTTACTATCGGTTCTGTGGGCGTGGCAGGGGAAGGACACTTCAAAATCTCCAGTCAGAGGGGTGGTATTGGCGGTTCTCCAAACGACTCAAAATTTCCGCTACCGGTTCTCCAGAACTGGTCAGAAACTGCTGAAGACCACCCGGTTCACGGGCTGGGGGGGGGGTCATCATTCCCGTTCTCCAATTCAATATATTCGCGGGGCAAAAGCTCCGGTAGTTTAGCTACAATCTTTTAAAGATAAGAGTTGGAATGTACCTCCGCTTCCAAACTGCTGCGCTGCTCTTCCAGGTTGCCTTCCTCTCCACCCCCCCACCCTTTTTTATGGCAACGACTAAAACAGGCCTAGGAATGTTTGATGAGTTGACAACCGGTTCAGCCCGGTTCGACCTACCCGGTTGCAAAAAAAGCTCCGCCGATCAGCTGAGACGAGAAAGCATAGGATCGCCCTGCCCCTCCACTTTTCAGTGCACAATTACTGAACCCACGGAGAAACGGGCAGAACCCCACCTCTGCCGCTGCCCCCCCGTCCCCCAGGGGTGCTCACCTGGCCCCTTCCGGGGACTGCCGCCCATGCGCCGGAGCAGCTCGCTGTTGAAGAGCCCCTCGTGCAGCTCGGCGTGGAGGCTCCAGACCCCCAAGGCCACGCTCTGCAGCTGCTGCTTCCCCAGGCTGACGTCCAGCGAGACGGAGAGGGCCAGCGAGAGCTCGGCCAGGCAGGCATCGTCCTGGGGAGAGGAACGTGTGTGTGCGTGAAAAGGAAGCAGAGTCTATGGAAGGGTCCCCGCAGGCCCACAGAACGCCCCCTCCCCTGCCCCCGTGGAAACCCCCCAGGCATGTAGACAGTTGCAGAGGGGGGGGACACCCCTGTTGTTTTCCCTTGGTGGGTCACGGGCCCTGCAACTGACCTCTGCAAAGCCCCCTCCCCCGCTCTGGATTTGGCCGGAGCGAATCCTACGTCCTGCTCAGTTGGGGTCCGGCCCTTGGGCCAAAATCCTCCAGGGAAGACGCCCCCCCCCCCAGCTGAACAGTGCCGGAATCTATCTATCTCTACCCGTGATATTTATCCCATCCATCCATCCATGATCTATCCATTCATCTGTCAATATATCTCTTTCTCTATCAACTATCTATCCATCCATCTACCCGTAATCAATGTATCATCATTTGCCATCTAGCCATCATCTATCCATTGTTCTACCTCTATCCATCCATCCATCTTTTATCGTTCTTCACCCAGTTCCTCTCTATATCTGTCTTCACCCTCTTTCTCTTTCTTTCTTTATATATCTTGTGTCTGTCTTCATCTATCTGTCTCCCTATGTCTCTGTTCCCTCCATCACTCCATCCAAATATGTCTGTCTGTCTGTCTTCTCGGTGTGTGTGTGTGTGTGTGTAAATGTATGTGTGTATATGTAGTCTGTCTATCTTCACCTATATCTCCATCTACGCGTTCCTTCATTCATGCATTCATCCATCCGTCTCTATTATCTGTTTATCCATCTATCTAACCAGCCAGCCAGGCAGCCATAATCTATCAATCTAGATCTATCCTCTATCAGAATAACAGAAAGGGACCTTGGAGGTCTTCTAGTCCAACCCCTGCTCAAACTGGAACCCTGCACCATTTCAGACCAATGGCCATCCAATCTCTTCTTAGGAACCTCCAGCGTTGGAGCACCCGCAACTTCTGCAGGCGGGCAGTTCCACTGGCTCGTTTTTCTCACTTCTACACACACCACCTGCCAATTTCCTTTCTCTCACCTACCTACTATCTACCCATTCACTCACCTGCCCGGTTACCTACCTATCAATCACATTTAGAAACCGCCCTTCTCTCACACAGAAGGGACTCCTGGCAGCGAACAAACCGAAGGTTCAAAACAAAAAACTAAATAGAAAATTTAAAATAGAGGCAAGGACAGCTAAAGTTGACATTAAATATGAATTGAGAGGCGGAGGGGGGGCTCTCGGGGCGCTGAAACCCCCCAACCCCGATGGTTGTCGGCCCCGTGCCCAAGAATTCCCTGGATGTTGTTTGCTGCCTCTTCTACCTGTCCAGAGCCACCTTTTAGAGACGGGCAGCGTAAACTAACAAACATTTTAACCCGGGACACGTAATTCGGCACACCTGCCCATCGGCTGCCATCTTTGCAAGCAGGGCTGGCCGAGGGTGGGACCAACAGAGGGGAAGGAGGGGGCAAGGGGGGGGGGGGTTTGGGGGGGGGGTCCTCGACTGCCCCTCCCTCCCAGCCTTACCTGCTGGCTGCTCTTCAGCACCTTGCTGTTCACCTGGCCACAGGTCACCTTGCAGGCCACGCTGGTGAGGGGGGAGAGAGAGCCGGTCAGAGGGCAGGAGGAGGCCTGGCGCTCCCGGGCACCCCCGAGGGCCGAGCAGGGGGTACCAGGGGGAAGCCCCCCCAGGATTTCAGCCAGGCACCCCCTGCATGCCACCCCCGCCGTATCCGTCCCCAGAGGTGCCTGGGAAAGCGGCAGACTCACCTCCTGCCGTCACAGCCCAGCAAAACCTGGGACCTGGACACCTGGACGTGCCACAGGGACTCCGAGGCGGCCACGTGCAGCACCATCACGTTGACCGAGTCCACGTGGAAGGAGCAGAGCTGGGGGGAGGGAGGGAGAGAGAGAGGAGGAAGCTGGCGGGCACCGCCGGCCAAGGGGGCAGCCAGCCAGACCCCCAAGGGAGCCCCTGTCTTACCTGGCTGACCAGCTGCAGCAGGGAGGGCCCCAGGGACAGCCCCTCCCCTCGGGCCCCGTCGGCCGGGTCGGGGGGCAAAGGGTCGGGGGGCTGCAGGTGAGGCGACTTCTGCAGATCCACCCGGATGCGCACCTCTCCAAAGCACAGGGCCAGGTAGCGCCTGCAGGGGAAGGCAACCGAGAGGCAGCTGGGGGGGAGGGGAGGAGCGGCCCACTTCCTACCCTGAGAGTCATAGAATCCAAGGGACCTCAGAGGTCATCCAGTCTAAGCCCCTGCCCGAAGCAGGAGTCCTTATACCAAGTACGGACAAATGCCTGGAAAAATCTCTTCTTGAAAACCTCCAGCGATGCGGCACCACAACTCCAGGAAAGAAGCTGCTTCCTTCCTTCTGTCCTTCCCTCCCTCTCCTTTCTTCCCTCCCATCCTCTCTTCCTTCCTTCTTCCCTCCCTCCTGTCTTTCTCTCCCCTTCCTCCCTCCCTCCTCTCTCTCTATCCTTCCTTCCTTCCTTCTGTCTTTCCCTCCCTCTCCTTTCTTCTCTCTCATCCTCTCCTTCCTTCCTTCTTCCCTTCCCTTCCTCACCCCTGCAGCTCTTCCTTCTTCCCTCTCCTTTCTTCCCTCCCATCCTCTCTTCCTTCCTTCCTCCTGTCTTTCTCTCCCCTTCCTACCTCCCCTCTATCCTCCCTTCCTTCCTCCCTCCTCTCTCTATCCTTCCTTCCTTCCTTCCTTCCTTCCTTCCTTCCTTCCTTCCTTCCTTCCTTCCTTCCTTCTGTCTTTCCCTCCCTCTTTCTTCCCTCCCATCCTCT